TCAAATTTCTTCTCATTTTTTAAACTTGTACCATAAAGATTTTTGAATTTGGTATCATAAATTTATTGTTTATTTTGAAATTATATAGAGAGTACATTTGAAATTACTTCTATAAAAAATAAATAAAAATAAGGCTTATCACAATAAAATCATGTTATTCCAATCATATTATTCCAATGACTTATCATGTTGAAACCAAAGTCTAATCATGTTCGAATACATGTGATTCTTTATAAGTGCCAAAGGCCTACAAAATAAGTAGGAAATGGTGTTATGATGACTTTAGAATTGTACAAGTTATTATTAGAAAATCTTTTTGGAATGGTGATGACATTATTAGAAAATATTTTTGGAATGGTGTGATGATGACTTTAATTCCATATTTCAATAGAATTTTGTGATAAAAAAAAAAAAAAATGATAGTTTATAGACAAGTGCTAGTAAAATGTTGTTAATGCATTTCCCATATTTCTTCCCGACATAGCCAAATAGTTTATAGGCAAGTGCTAGTAAAATGTTGTTAATGCATTTCCCATATTTCTTCCGACAGCCAAACAAAACAGTAACAATGTATTTACCAAGTTGCATCTAAATACTACCCAAACAGTAACAATCCATTTACAAATAATGTATTACGCCAATAATATATTTTCCAGACAATATATTTCCAGGTATCCAAAAGACCCCTGAGGGAAGTAGAGAAAGCTTGCTTATTTCACAAACACTATATTTTCAGGCATCCAAACGACCCCTAAATGAAGTATAGAAAGCTTGCTTTTGTACAATCTTTACAAAATGAAGGCTACTATTGAATTTTTCGAATGCATCTCCATGCATCCACATCTCTCAAAGCTGAGCCCTTGTAATTTATATCACCACCATCATCAAAATCTTCTTACTCCTTTCTCCATATAAGCTCTGATCTCCACCAAGGGCCCCTTAACCCTCCAGGAGTTCCTGAATTGTTGTCCTTGAAGACTATGGAGATGGGTAAAACCCCTGATACCATAGAATATTTGGCTAAGAAATAACCCCACATATGATAGGGAAGAATATGAAAATCTTGCCTACTCTTGGCAAATTCAGTTTTTCAAAGGCATGTGGCCTCTCTTACTCTCGTAACTTCTCTTAGAATACTTGGCGAAGAAACAAAACCCACAAGGATATATGTTTGAACTTTATTGATGATAAAGATCAATCGGTAATCAGGAAAAGTGTGCATGGGTGCGAACAATTGATATAACCAGAACCATTATACAGCATCATACATATAGTCGATAACTTTGTATATAATTTTGGGGCGAATATTTTCTGATGTCTAGAAATCCAGAATTGTGTAATAGGTGAAGAAGATTAATACAATCAGAAGCATGTCCCTCTCAATAGGTAACTCCCAAAAAAACTACAGTATAAACTTTTGTCAATGTCCAAAAAGAAACATTAAAACTTTTTAATGCTGCAGAAATGTATCTATCTACACACACACTAAAAACTTTTCACTAGCATCTTAACAAAGAATTTTCAGTTGAAAAACTCATGCATCTGAACTTTTCTCTTCAATATGTATTGATATCAAGTTCTATAGTATTAGAATTTACAAGAGAATGCGTACCCCTAAGAATCATATATCCTGATGGAGCTTTGAATGTCCTGCCTGCACAATGGGCACCTTGGAATAGCATCATGTTCCACAAGAGCAGCACAACGAGCACAACAAACAAGGTGGCCACAAGGGAGAAAAGCAGAGCGCTTTCGCCTCATTAGGCATATGATACACAATTGTCCATCAGGTACATCACCTGTCTCCTCATTTTCAGTCATCTCAGGCGTAGAGCTTCTTTGTTGTTGGGCTTGCCTCCAAGATCTCCACTCTTGCCACTTACTCCTATTCCTGCACAAAGACGAAAGTGACATTTTTACCCTTTCATTTTCTTCGTTCCTTTTACTTGTTATTGAAGAGTTCTGAGATATAAATGGTTCTGGGAAGATCATGTATTTCGTCATGGGAATAGGATAACTGCTGTTGTTTGACGTGAATGTCTTTACATCACCTTCTTGTTGCCTAGCAACATAACACCCGGGAAACTCTGACAAGGACCTGTATAAAGTCTGTAATATTCTTTTGAGGGGTGTGTGTGAGAGAGAGAGAGAGAGAGAGAGAGGTGGGCTGCTAAAGAAAAGAGAAATAGCGAATCAAGTAAAAAATAGGGTAAAAAGAATCTAAGTTAACCTATTTCCCTTCTTTCCAAAAGAAACTGGTACTCACAGTATACCTTCTGAAAACTAGGATTATGTTTCTCAAAAGTAGAAGCAAAGACAAGCAACAGTAATGCTATTGTCTTGAAATAAACAAAAAGATGGATGCTTTGGAGTTCTACCAAATAGGAAAAGCTACTAGAAGATTGTGAAAGTCCAGATTGAGTGCTGAAATATCATTTTACGACCTAATTTACTCAGTCACAACAAATCAGAAACAGAACTTAGCACAAAAATCTATCGCTAAGCCCCAATAATGAGAAGATAAGCTATGAAGCGAACACATCAGAACTATTGTTTGTCTGAATAATTGTCAACTTTCACACATAGAGAAATTGCATCACCTTAAAGTCATTTGTGTCTAATCTCAAAGCAACTTCACTCAGCTAAAGGCTGACAATACTTTATAACTATCTAAAAGGAATGCAACAATACCTTAAAAAAACTTAGCCTGAAAAAATAAGATACCTTATGAAAGAGTAGCTTAAGATACCCACGGACAAGGTGCTAAGCAAAATGCCACCCCAAAACAAAAATCTTGTTTGAAGTGCAAGATCTGCAACCAACTGATCCTTAGTCAAGTCAGACCTGCATGGGTCAAATCAAGCATATGGTAAACATGAAATGACAGTTGTATCTGTAATGCTAACCTAGATCTAAAAGGCATCTCATAGCAGACAATGAATAGTAGAAACCACGTTATATTGTGTTTGGGAGAGAATAGTTCTAGAACGGTGAAAAGCTAGAGACTATATATGCATAAATGCATGTATTGCATGAAAGCAAGAAATGTGATTGGAAGAAAACATGACAAAATGATAGTCACAAATGAACTAATTACTAGTGAACATCTAAATTCAACATTCTACACATGATAGCATGGGTCTACCTAAATGAAGCATAAACCCAAATACAAACCATAAATCACCACCCCACCACTTAGAACAATGGAATTTTTTTTCAGAAATTAAGCCATTGCACTCCCCATCTACTGAACTATCCATCTATCCACACCAAAATGACACTTTTCCAAAGCTAGAGAGCCATGCATGTGGTCTCGAAAGCAATATAACAAATTTTCATCTAATTCACTTACAAGAAATATGGAAGCCATTCACAGGATCTGATCTCAGGAACTCCACATTGCAAATTGCAGTGGCCAACTGCAGTTATTTCCTTACCGGGTGGGAGGATCTTCTCTTCATCTAAAATGCCAACCTTCCAACAACAAACATTAAATAAACAATTTTAAGCACCTGGTATTTGAAATTTGTATGTTGCTTAGGAGCCAAGGGCCCAAGGCAGAGAAGCTTCAAAGGTAATGGATTTCAAAGAAAGTCACAATAAAAGATCACACTAGAAGTACAAAAACATCATTCTAGGCTAAAGAACTCACTGGATACCCATGTCCAAAAATAGCCTGTAAGAATGTGAAAGGGGTAGCCTGAATGGGGCGCAATTGATGATAAACAGTGGTAAGGGGTAATGAATGCCTCGAATTTTCCAGGTTAACAATGACATAATCAGAACACAGCCAGTTACCATCTTCAACAAGCACAAATGGAACCTGAAAGAGACATATCAGACCACATTTCAATTTAGGAAAATAGAACATAAATTAGAGTGTGAAAGATAACACATTGTTAAAGGGATACAATTTTTTCTTGATACTAAAAGTCTAAGACCATTGTCACATTTAGACGACAAGTACTTGAAAATGGATGTGCTGAAGACAAGTCAGAACATCAAAAGACAGCATATCGACCTAGGAATGGGCTCAAGGCTGGGGTGATCAAGGTAGTGAGTCGCCACAACATGACGTCTTGGGTTCCATTCCTACTATAGGTAGGGGTTCCCATCCCCACTGAACAACCCAAAAAAAAAAAAACAGCATATTGACCAATAAAACCTCTATCTAGCTGGGTAGAAGTTCAGAAAGATCAGTAATAGGATCAATGGCTCAATGGAGTGATGAGCTATAGTTGCCACGGTCATTGCTTTACTGTTGTGATAAACTTAATGTTGTAAGGAATCCACATCATAGCTAACATTTGTCAAGAAGTTAACCAAGCTATCCAATAGGTCCTCAAAGTAAAAATGCTCAAATGTCACAACGGAAAAGATCGGTAATAGGATCAATGGCTCGATGGAGTGATGAGCTATAGTTGCCACTGTCATTGCTTTACTGTTATGATAAACTTAATGATGTAAGGAATCCACATCATAGCTAACATTTGTCAAGAAGTTAACCAAGATATCCAATAGGTCCACAAAGTAAAAATGCTCAAATGTCACAAAGGAAAATACTTAAAACAGTTAATCATGGAGATGCCTTATTTTATTTATTTTTTAAAATTGATGTCAGAAACCTCAAAGCACAATACTTTACGGTTTCCCACAGGCAAGGTGACTGTTTCGCATGAGAAAACCCGACATATCTTCATCTTGCCATGGATGGGGATGTTGTAGGATGAGATAAGAACTAGCCATTCTATGTCATTCCAAACACATTTGAGTATAGTGGCTCTCCAGTCCATGCAACACAAATGAAAAATATTGCTTGTGACAATTCCATGATGTGGATTACGGGGTACAACCACATGTCACCATCTCCTATTCTGCTTGGTTGATACCAGATGCTCAATTTAACTGTTTTATTGATCCCACCAATTTGAGAAGTCATAACTTAATACCTGTCGAACCAAAAGACTACATAAGAGTGTTTCAGAAACTAGACAATAATATTCATGTGCTGTAATGCTGTTCACTGGATGTGTAATCATTCTTCGGAAATAGACTCATAACTTTAGCCCTTTTGCGCTTTCGACAATAAGTATACCTTGTGACACCAGTTCTAGGTGTGGATCTTCAAGCAAATCCTCCTTATGGGACAGTTAAGTCCTAAACCACGAGCCTCTATGGTTCTCTTGAAGCATACCCTAACACAACTATTCATTAAGAAAATTCATCCATGGCAGGGAGATCAGACGGATTTGGGATAAGCAAGCACTTTGCTTTTTCCTATTGAGCATTCACTGATGTATTGTAAGCCCTTGCACTCTAACCACAGGCCCACGAGCCCAAACCACTGAGCAAGCAGTTATGGATAATCAATCATACGTAAAATCATGGGAACAAGTAACAAGCGCTTCATACATTAGAGTACCCAGACTCACAAAATTGAGCTCCTGTACTTACTCAGCAAGAAATTTATGTATACAACATATTAGAGCAAGAGAGAGAGATTAAGAGAACTTATAACTAGCAACAAATCAAATGCACATTTCAGCATGTCTTGTTTCCCCAATACCTTCGAATAATAAGGGCTACTAGGCAGAAAAGATGTCATCACTCACTTCACTTGTTGCCAAGAAGACAGCTAAGTTACCAATTCTTGTGAATGCTTCATACTAATGAGTAGCTCAGAGAAATATTATGGATCAAACATAATTAATAAGTTTACAATCTAAAGAAGTAAGCAAAATATTGACAAAAATTCAGAATGCAAAAATGACGAAAAGGAGATACACAAATTGAATTTAAAGTCTTACTTGATTTTCATATAAAACTACTATCAATAAGATACTTTTTGGAAGGAAAATTTACCATTCTAAATGAGGTAGTGAGTTGCTCCTTCAAAGATCTCCCGAGCAGTGCACGCCAATCGAAATTCCATCCAAATATACCCCTCCATTCATTATATAGACACTTCACAAAATGAAATTGACCAAACAAATGAAAACCAGTAAGAGATCTCCCAAAGTTAAATCAGTTTAATACTATTCTCCGTAAATTTCAAACTTCGAGTAATCTATAGAACATCGACAAAATATGGATCCAAAAGTAATATGCTGCAATAACAAGTGACATATTCACAAAATGAGATGTAAATTTATATTCTACAGGCACTTCAGCATTTCAGTTTTAAGCAAACATTTCCACATGAAGAAGAGGAATACATGTGCCCTATATATATATATATATATATATATATAGAGAGAGAGAGAGAGAGAGAGAGAGACTAGTTGGT